TATATTTGGACTATTTTCTCCATCTTTGTTGTTCGCAACGTTTCGACGGTTGTGCCTATCAGGTGTGTATCGATCTGGGTAATTGAAAGAGCTTGGAATCACAAACCTATGCTTTTATCCGCTAGGCCATTGTCCCGTAGGACAATTTGTTGTAGAAAACTTAGGCCCTTAAACTTAACCTGTCTGCTGATTAGGTTGCAACTGCAACTGCTCCAGGCAGTCACATTTTGACTGTGCTGGCCATGTTTTGATTGCTGCTCTTCTTTTCTAGCGGCTCCCATATTGTTGGGTGGTTTGTAGTTGCACTCAGTGGAAACGGGCGAGCGATAACTGAGCAGCACTACCTTATTTATTTTCGGACGATTGTCCTCATCTGGATGTATTATTATCTCGCAGGTACAATGAGAATAAAAAAACGTATAGCCAACACTCACCGGACAATGTCTCAACATCAATTCGTAGCATCAATATAGTGTGAAGAACAGTAGTAAATAAATAAAAATTACATCTAGACGATATCCGTAGATATGAGCAGTGGAAGGATAACAATATACCTCGAAGATTAATTATTAAGATTAAATAAAGGGTTCAGTTCAGAATTCTCTATAGGTTGCCCAGATTGATATACTCCTGATGAAAACCGGACGGCGCAACAGACGAAACGTTGTGATGACAACAACAAAGATGATGAAAATTGTTTGAATATCCGTCAGTCAGTTATGTGTCATGTGTGATACACGCTTAGCCGATCATGTATCTTTCGATGATGCAGATTTTTTTCCCCTCAGGAGGTTACCATTTCTTTGCCCAGATTGAGATAGTCCTGATGAAAACCGAATATCCGTCAGTCAGTTATGTGCCATGCCTGATACACCCTTAATCGATCATGTATCTTTCGACGAGGCAGTTCTTTCTGCGGTAGATCAGTTGCCATCCGGTCTGTGTTGCTATTTACCCATATCTGGGTGGAGAAGAAGAGGATTTATACCTTTGCCATTATTAATATTAGCACGTAACTGGAATTCGAACTCGCCTCTCCGATTCTTCATTCCGAGACGCTATCCATTACTCCACCGTGCCTACGAATATAAATGTTGTAAATAATCCTAACTTTTCTTCCCAGAAATTCTTTATTATCTATTTATTTAACCATGCGCATTATATGTCTATCTATCTGCTTTTTGTAAATGTTGATCTTAATTGGCTAATATGAAACACATACTTCAAATATTCACGTTCAAGCGGTCTCTGTGTTTAAGATCAGAAAAAGGGAGTTGAAGTTTATCACGAAATAAAGCTTGGAGAATTAGACGTAGGAAATATTGAACAGAAGGCACGCAGAGTCGAAACATCGTCTCGCCTCATTAAGGAGCTTGAGGCGATATATTTTTAATCTAAGCAAGGCAATAAAGCCACTAAGATACAAAGGGGATACTGAGTGTTACAAAATATGAGATAAGTACTGTTAAGGAGTGAGAACAATAAATGAACAACAATTAAGAAGACAGAAGATAACGATTTTCATCACATTTCAATTTTTGAGAAGAAACTGTTAGCAGAGAACTTACGGTAAGATCTAGCCATTTCAACAGTAAAATGGTGAGACCATGCTGCAGCTATAGTACTACGCTTAAATTTTTAAAAAGTCTCGGTACCATAGAGGAAATTCATCAAAACAACATGAAATCATTTGTCGAAAAGGCAGAGTGAAGCTGCGTTACGGCGGTGAGAAAGAGACTGAAGCCGAGATGCCTGGTCAGGATCAATAACATTGCAATATGGATCAGCACTTATTTTGAGCTAGAAATTATAGGAAGTTATCACACACGTGCAATTGGTTAGTATATCTTCTTATTTATTGTATACCATTCGTTGTCTATCTATCTATCTATCTATCTATCTATCTATCTATCTATCTATCTCCATTATCTGTCGATCACCTTTTAGAAATTTTGATCTTAAAATCTTAATATGTAATAAATACTTCAAGCATTCACTCTCAAGCGGTCTGTGTATTTAGGATCAGAAAGACAGAGTTGAAGTTTTATGGGACATATCTCAGGAAATAATGCTTGGGGAATTTGACGCAGGAAATATTGAATGGAAGACAAGCAGAGGGAATCAGAGGGGCTAGACTATTTGCGTAAATGGGGGACAAATAGGGATGGGAAGTACAGTATGCGGAAAGCACTTATTTTGAGCTACAAATTATAGGAAGATGTGGTGAGCCGTTTTCTCACACGTACAATTTATTATTATATATGACTATCTCAAACTTTGTGTATTTATGTACATATCTACCTATGCAATTATCTTTATCTATTTGTGCACATTATCTATCTTTGCAAATAATCTATCTATCTATCTATCTATCTATCTATCTATCTATCTATCTATCTATCTATCTATCTATTTTTGTACATTATCTATCCATCTATGTGTATGTTCTATCTATCTAGCTATCTTTTCCATTTTCATTATCTGTCTAGGCTATTATCTCTCTCTCTCTCTCTCTCTCTCTCTCTCTCTATATATATATATATATATATATATATATATATATATATAATAATATATCTATCTATTGCAAATAATCTATCTATCTATCTGTGATCTTCTCTTTATGTCATTTTATCTATCTATCTATCTATCTATGTATCTATCTATCTATCTATCTATCTATCTTTGTACATTATCTATCCATCTATGTGCATGTTCTATCTATCTGTTCCATTTTCATTATCTATCTATGCTATCGTCTCTCTCTCTCTCTCTATATATATATATATATATATATATATATATACAGTGTGAGTGCTTTGTGTGTATTCTTTTGGCAAATTTTCTTTTAAATGCTTGATATGAAACAAAATCTTCAAGCAGTCACTCTCAAGCGGTCTCTGTATTTTCTTGACGCACCAAAACATCACGTCCCTCCCCGTTCGACCCAACCTTAGCCACAGATTCCGTTAACATCAACCCGACCACATCATTGTCGGTCTCATTCACACTTTGCATCCTACGAGAATTGTAATCTCGCCGGCTGTCCGAGCTCGGACGCATAAAGAGAGAAAGCCGACAAGAAAAGATTCCGTTGTCACGTGAGACGTGTTTTGGGAATACGGAACGGCCTCAGCGTTTGACGTTTGTTATCCCTTGCAAATGATTTATCCGCCATTCCCACTCGGTTACTTTCCGACGTCTTCGCTCAGACTCCACCCACCAGGACAGCTAAGTTTGCCATACAAAAATCTTCCATCGGCTAATTTATTTCTTACTGTTCACCGCTAGCGTTTCACTTTTACCTGCCATTTCTGCCTTACGGCTATTCATTTTGACATCATCTCTCGATCCTTGACAATCAGCGTCGCTAAATGCGATTAAATTTTGTTTTATGCGCTGAATAAAACAAACTAGAGGATCCCCATCAGTATAACTAAATTAATATTAAAAAAAAAACAAAATATTGTACATCGACATAGTTCAATGGGTCATGTAAAAATGGTAATATAAGATAGTAAAGTGCTGAGGCCTTGTTAGGCCCAGAAATAAAGACACAAAAGAGGAATTGTGTTAACCAAATATATTAACAGAAAACAGTAATATAAATATATATACAAACAAGAGCGTTTCAGCAAGAATGTTCGGTCCGACTGTCAGAGCTGACTGCTGGAAACTTCCCTCTCCAAAAGGCAGTACCTGCTCCTATTTATAGCTGGGGGAGTCCATGTGCGCGTGGATAAATTACCATAACATTATTAATATTGTTGTTGTTATTATTATTATTATTGTTGTTGTTGTTATTATTATTATTATTATTATTTGTTGTGGCGTTGTTAGGACCAGAAATAAAGACTCAAGAGAGGAATTGAGTTAAACAAATATATTAACAGAAAAGAGTAGTACAAATATTTACAAACAAGAGTGTTACAGCAGGAATTTTTGGCCCGACTGTCAGAGCTGACTGCTGTGAACGTCCCTCTCTAAAAGGCAGTACCTGCTCCTATTTATAGCTGGAGGAGTCCATGTGTGCGTGGATAAATTACCATAGCATTATTAATATTGTTGTTATTATTATTAATAGTATTATTATTACTATTATTATTGTTGTTGTTGTTATTATTATTATTATTATTTGGTGTGGCTTTGTTAGGGTCAGAAATAAAGACACAAAGTGAGGAACTGAGTTAAAACAGGAACAGTAATACAAACATATACAAACGAGAGTATTATAGCAGGAATGTTCGGTTCGACTGTCAGAGCTGACTGCTGGAAACTTCACCCTCCAAAAGGCAGTACCTGCTCCTATTTATAGCTGGGAGAGTCCATGCGTGTGTGGCTAAATTACCATAACATAAAGAGTAGGATGAATCCGTAACTGAAAGGAGACAGCAAATAAAGCAGTCGAATGTAGAACTTTTGAATTAAATGTAGCAGAAGAAAGAAGGTACAGAAGTTACATTATCTATGTAGTGTTGTAACAAATAACAGAAAGTGTGGCACGGAGATCTTAAGTCGCATCCGTAAAGCGTAAGATGCCTTCTATAAAATAAACAAAGTATTAAGAGATCGGAAGTTTTCGTTAAAAAAAGAAGAAAATAATGCTTAACTGCTATGTCATATCTCTCCTCCTGTGTGGTAGTAAACGTTGATAAATGTTCTCACATATGAAGATAAAGATTGTGTCTGCTTACACACTGGGTAAAACTGACTTTATTTATACATGATTGATTGATTCCTTCGTTTTCTACGGCCTATCAACCCATTTGTAGGCTATTTAAAGCCAGAAAATATATTTATATTCTAAGAATTTTTTTCGTTTTTATACAATGATAAAAGTTTTAATAATTAACCCATATCTGGGGGAAGAAAAGTTGCATTCATACATGCCTGAAGAGTATTTCCGCGTAACTTAATATAACGAATCCAACAGGAATTGAACTCGACTCTCCGATTAACAATTCCGAGACATTGTCCATTATACCACTCGCACATCAAAGCTTACAGCACTTGGAATTCCCAAGCGGTAACCCATCTAGATACTGATCAGGCTCAACGCTGCTTAAATTTGCGATCGTACGGGAAGCGGTGTTTCAAGGCAATGTGAACCTGGTTTATACTTGAGGCTATACGTACTGATCGATTTTATATTTGAGGCTATAGATAAACATTGTTCGGGTTTATGCTTGAGTCTGCAATCGTCTGGGGGGTGCTGTATTTGGGGTAGGGGTATTATCTCTCTCCTGGTGCATTTTAAAAGGGTGTAATTTTCAAATGATTCGGACGTTATCTGAACGGAAGAGTAATATTTTAGTGATGAAAAGGGTTAAAGATACATATGGTACGGCGTGCCAAGTGTGTTCAAGGCCATGGTGCGCATGTGATACAGAATGTACGTTTTAGGGATTTTGTAATTGGTATAGAATGAAGGATTCTCAGTAAAACCACTTTAAGTTCAGGAAAGAGCCCAGTATGATTTATCAGGGTGTTTGCAGTCCATACGTTCTTTACTCAGTTCCAGACAAAGATAATTCAAAAATTATATCCTAATATCTATTAAAGTATTATTTACATTATTTATATGTTGATTATTGTCACCATCTTCGTTGTTGTTGCCACAACGTTTCGACCTTCATGAGGTGCTTGTTGATCCGAGTAACCATAAACTAGGCATGAAGAGTGAAATCTTTTCTTTGCCATATTCATACTTTTGGATTTAATCCATACGTTTCAAATTCATATATACCTGGCATGGAAGCAGCAACTGCAGAAATAGCGAATTTTGTCCTGTCGAAGTAAAATACAGAACTTCGAATTGCCCCAAAGAAAATAAGTTAAACCACCATATTTACATTGGAATTTCTGCGGGGGAATGGAAACAAAGACTTTATACACATAGACATTCTTTTTCAACCCAAAATTAAAATAGCAAACTGCTTTTTCCCCCAAAAAAAATTGGGAGTTGAGGGAGAAAAATCTGAACTACAGATTGTCTGGTAATTCATTGCTTTCGCTCTCACTCCTAGTAATTTTGAGGGTAGATGTAGCCTGTGTTTAGAAGAGCAGATTAGAATGATTAAATTCGATAATCAAAGCAATGGGTTAGTTCAAATTGATCGAGAATATTATTGACCATTCTTAATCTGTTATCACTTAAAACATATATTATTATTTCTACTCCTTCCCATTTCTATCAAATAATCTTCCACTTTCATAGGTGTTTATTATTATTTTTATTTTCGTTGATTTCTGGCGTTTACACATTTCTTACCGGGTTCCGCCCAGGGACCTAAGGTTAGAAATGGCATCATGACACTTTCCACTGACAAAAAAAAAAAAAAAAATTACATAGATAAAGCCCTTCGTAAAGTGTGGGCTGTACTTGTCAGAACAATTTTTTGTATCTCCTTGAGGCATGGACTTTCAGGAATCCCTTCAATTAGTCTACTGCAATCTTTTCCAACCAGTCCTAGGGCTCCAACTACAACAAGGATTGTTGATGTTTCCATATGCCCCATTTTCGAGATTTCTATTTGTATTTTGACAGCTTTTTGAATATCTACAAAGATACATTGCAGTCAGCAGGGACTGCCATATCAATAAGGAGGCACCGTTTTTGTTTGTGGTCTTTAATAACAATATCTGGGCGGTTGGCCTTGATTGTTCTGTCAGTGTGTATTGTGTAGTCCCATAGAATTGTAACAGGTCCTATCTCCGTAACCGGGTCTGGGTGGTGTTCATATCAGTTTCTTTCAGTTTCCTTCCCGTAGAAGTTGCAGATTTTCCAGTGCAGATATTGGCCCACTCTGTCATGTCGGGTTTTATATTCAGTGGGTGCCAACATCGTGCAACCTGATACAAGATGATCAATCGTTTCTGAATATTTATCACAGAATCTGCATTTTGGGCTGACACAATATTTTAGTATATGTCCTTGATAATTCCTAGTTAGCAAGCATTGGTCCTGCGCAGCAAGGATAAAACTTTCAGTTTCAGCTTTCAACCCTGCGCTGCGTAGCCACTGATGGGTACGGGTTTTGTCTACGTCAGCTTGTTTGGTACGGGCAGAGTATTGGCCATGAAGTGGTTTATCTTGCCATCGCTTCTGTATCTGGTCGGTTGCATTCGTCTTTGCTGTTTTTTAAAAGTATTTTGCAGTTTCAGCCGGTGTATTGTGCTGTAGTTGCATCTCTACGCCCATTTGAAACTCCATTTTGAATTTGTTGGCTTCTTTCATTACGGAGTAAAGACGTTTACTACTTTCATGTTCCTTGACGCATACCATCATCCAGTCTTCTATAGTTTCCAAGTATCTTTGGAGGCCAATTGTTGTAGTTTTGTAGGTTAGTTCTAGTTGAACTAATCCTCTGCCTCCTTCGGATCTGGGCACATACAAACGATCAAAATCAGCTTTGAGATGATGCATGCGATAGCAAGTGAGAAGCTTTCTCGTTTTGGCGTCCATTCGCTTAATTTCAGCTATGGTCCAGTTAAGGACATTAAAGCTGTATTGCACCACAGGGACAGCCAATGTGTTTATAGCTGATATTTTTTTTGAGTTTAGTTCAGTATTTAGTACCAGATGTACACGCCTGTAGTACTCTTTTCTTATTTTTTCCTTCATTTGGGGGTGTTGCATGCCATCTCCTTCGCTAATTATTATTATTATTATTATTATTATTATTATTATTATTATTATTATTATTACTGATGTTGTTATTATTACTATAACTACTCCTATTATTTTATTTTTGCCCTTACTATATGTATTCTTTTATTTTACTAAATTATTTTTATTTATTATTTTAATATTTTATTTGATTTATAATTTTATATTTATCTTTAGATTTAATATTTAAAATTTATATTTAATAATTAAATTTTACTCGTTTTTAATATTTAATTCATTGATATATATTTTATATTTATATTAATTAATTTGTTTTAGATTTAATAATTTATTTATTTTTACATTTATTAAATCGTTTTTTTTTTAATTTATATTAAAATAATTAATTTATATATGTCACATATATTTTATTATTTATTAGTTTATATTTATTACCTATTAAGTTATATTTAATATATAATATTATTTATCAAATTTATTTCATAACTTGACTTTAATAATTATTTCAGTAATTATTATTTTAATTATCATTTTCTATTATTATTATTATTATTAGTATATTACTTATTTTTGATATTACCTTTTTACTTAAAGATTTTATCTTAAAATGAAATTTAAAAAAAAAAAACAAACTCTTCTCTAATTTTTAAATATAATCTACAAGAAGACGGAATGCATGCTCATCAGTAAAACAATGAACTCGAAATGCGATTTGAAAGTCGAGAACCCGAGGATGAAGCAGACGCGTAAGTTTAAATATCTAGGAAACCTTTTGACAGATAAAGGTAAGTGCGACACTGAGATGCGTAGACGTATTATGATGGCCAAAGACGCATTCCAAAATATGGGCAGAGTATTGCATGACAGGAGAATTTCTTTGGTAACAAAGAAAAGGATACGGAGCTGTTACGTGACATCTGTCCTTCTTTACGGCAGCGAATGTTGGACGATTTCCTCAAAGATGAAGAAGAGACTCGAGGCGACGGAGATATGTTTCTACAGAAGAATGCTGAGGATTTCGTGGACCGAGTGTGCGATCAACGATGAGGTATAGGAGGTATAGGTATGTGTGTGTGTGTGTGTGTGTATACTAGCAGATTTTTAACTTTTTCAAATTCGAAAGTTAACAAAAGATTAGATAGAACTTGTCGATATTGTACAACCAAACATGTTAGAAAGAATTATCTATCCCAAAATACACCTTATTTAATTACACACACACACACACACACACACACACACACACACACACACACACACACACACACACACACATATATATATATATATATATATATATATATATATATATATTATTATATGTTTCTCATAAACAGAACATTTACTTGAATATTGTACGTATAAAAAGAACGTACAAACATTAAAAATGTCTTAAATTATTGTCGGACTTCATTTCATAATGTGTGACGTCATTTGTTTACATTTGGATACGCATCGAGCAGATATGAATGTATGAGGGAAAATCAAGAGAATTGTAGTTCAAAAACATATATATATATATATATATATATATATATATATATATATATATATATATATATATATATATATATATATATACTTACATGAAAAAACAATATATTACTAGGTTTTTTTTAAAAAAAAGTTTACTAAATGTTTGCCGTCATTGTCATAAATTTTACTTAAATAATATTTAAATATAATTTAAAAAAAAAAAAAAAAAGTTACTTAATAATAATACTTATACTTTATGTGAAAATAATTCTACATAATTTAAGGGATTCTAATATATTTACTTGTCCTTAAAAGAAATATAGTATATTAAAAAATAAAAGTAAAAATATTTTTCAAACTGTAGTTAAATAAAACGTATTCTAACCTAAACACCCACCCACCAAAAAAATCTTTAAATATACAAATAGAAAAAAATGCCGTAAGAATTTTTGCTGTTAACAATAAATTAAAAAAAAAAAATCCAGACGACATATAATTAACGGATGTCAGATTTCATTGAAATCCCTACCCCCTACCAAAACGTAACTAATAACTGATACATCAAAATACAGCGATAATGAACGCACAAACACCCCTTGTCTGGTTGAATGGATTTCTCTGTAACCTTGGAAACATGAATTATGATTTTTGCTGTCTTTAAAACCCAGTAATTTTAAAAGTTACTCCAAAATTCGCTTGAGGGTGAAATGGAACTAATGTCTTTAATTTAATTACAAAATTAAATTCGGAGCTTTCAGCTTCCATTTTTGAAACATGGTTAGAACTGTGTAGCGAAAAAAAACATATTTTAAATCAATTAATTTATCATATTAATGCTCTGTAAATTTACATTTAGCACTATTTTGTAAAAATAAAAATATCTATAAGAACACCGGATTATATATCTTACTGTTCTTTCTTTATATATATATATATATATATATGTGTGTGTGTGTGTGTGTGTGTGTGAAAAGTGTATATAAATATAAATAA